TAGGCACTTAAATGAGAATGAGAGCAAGACAATGAAGAAGCATCAGAAAGTCGTCTGATTTCCAGTTCCGCAAATAATCTGTTATTTAAGCAATGCTCTTTTTCTTTAAGATTCACATTACACACTAAAACAAAACAAAACAAAAACCCCTTGCAACTAGCAACACCTAAAAATAGAGACAGAAGAAGTGCATAGTTGATGACTAACATAATGCTAGAGCCATAAGGAAAATTCACTGTTCTTTAAAAGGTTCTATATTCCGCTAGATAGTTGAAAGGAAATGAGAGTGTTAAATAATGGAAATATAATTCAAAGTAGAATAGTAATAATAATGTTTAGAATTTACCTAGCATTTTGTATAACTATCAAGACACTTTACAAATGTGCATAAGCATTATTGTCCTTATTTTGCATATGGAGAAAGAGAAGTATAGCGTGGTTTGCCCAAGATCACATAGAAAACCAACAGCACTGTTGAGAAGAGACCCCTAGGGGCAGATCTGTAATTATGGCAATTTATGCCAGCTGAGGATCTGCCCCCCTGTGTTTTGACTCATAAGCCAATGCCTCATCAACCACAACACAACACTTCCCAGGACTGAGAAGTACTTTACCACAGACTAAGGATGGTGGTTTGGTTCTGCCAGAAATCAGAACCCCCAGCCCATCCCAGATCCAGTGTAGGAATGAAGATTTAGATCAGTATAAATGCTCATATCATTATGATCTAGGGGAAAGGACACCCCCTTTTTAGTCTTTGTTTCCTCTTCTAGACAGAAAGTTTGCTTCTTGACCTCACATGAAGGCATGCAGTGACATCAGAAGTCATGACTAAGTTTGTATATAGTACTTGGTGACAGGGCTAATCCATTGCTGTTGCTCTTTCCCTCTGTGCTCAGTCTGTACAGAACTACACTCTGAGTTTGTCTACACATACCAACTGCCCCAGTTTAAATAAAGGTGTGATGTTTGCACCAATTTAAACTGGAGGAACATGACCTCCCTCCTTTAGTTAAACGACTAAAAATTTTTGTGTAGCCGCCCAAAAACAACATGGGGAAGAGCTGTGGAAGCTGAGCTGAAAAACCTGGGGCACCGCTGCGGAACCACTGAAAGACTTGCCAGAAACAGACAGGAGTGGAGGAGCTTTGTCACTGCCCTAAAAGCCAGAGGCGTAATAGGAGCAAGATGATGATGAAGTCTCTCGGTATTAACACGTGGAGAGAGCAAGTACAGCAGAAAAGCCAACTAACAGTGAACCCCACAATGGTTCCAGTGTCACATCATGTCTCCACAAGTGATCAAGAAGAAGCAGAAGGTGAGACGAGGAGACCTCAAGGATAGCCACATAGACGGGAAGGAAATTTTATGAAGAGAACATCTGAGCTGATAGAAATGTAATTTTTAAACTATATGAAAGAAGTTACTGGCGAGAGTTTAGGTTTAAGGGCAATTACTAAAATAGCAGATTCACTGCCACCCTCCACAGCAAGACTGCCTCTCTATTTCTTATTCAGCACTGAGTTGAAAAATTGCTGGTAGGTTAATAGTTGTTGTAGTAACTCTATTCAGCCTCACCCTGGAGAAAGGGCTTTTTACAAAGCAAGGCATACTACAGAAAACTCCCTGCTATATTGCCACTTCAGTGGTGTGGGCAACACATAGAGCAACAGTATAAGCTATCTATCGTGGACTCGTGGGGTGGGGGAGGAGGGTCAAAACCTAGTAGCTTGGGCCAGAGTCAAGATCCAGAAGTCTGAGCCAAGGCTCAGAGATGGAGTTAGGAACCAGGCAGAGGAGCAGGACTGGAACAAGCCTAGGAAGATGGCACAATCACAACTGCATGCATAAGTGTTGAGCAGCCCGTGGCCAGGTGCTACTGTTGTGCTTAAGAACAGTCCCGGCAATGCTGCTCAGCCAATCAGGTGATCTGGCCAATTAGAGGTTTCAGCTGTCCTTAGCTAGCTGATTCCAGGCCCAGCTGCAGGCCCTCATTCCTGACACCATCAGATTGCAGCTGCGGTACTATCCACTAGTAAATAAAATTGTGTGTATGGGGAGGGGAGGGGACAACCTAAAAAAGAAGTGTTGTTTGATAAGGCAGCCACTGGATGACATATAGAAATCTCTCATTGTCCTCATTACAACTTAGGTTACTTTCAGCCTTAGTCAAAATAAATAAGTGAAAATAATTATTGATAAATCATTAAATGGTACCATTCTGGGCAGGAAGAAAAAGGACAAAGATAAGCATCTTTGTGTGTAGAAAACAGTAGCAGGACACTGTCAGAGGAAGAAAACCAAATTCCTTTTTGATCTAGCACTTTAGAAAAGAGTCCGATTTTTACCTCAGCTCTGATTTCTCTGATTAATGAAAATTAGAACCACTGTTTCAAGTTCTCCTAGCCCTATTCTAGATTTCCAATTTAATCAGAATCTCTTCATGTTCTGAATATTTGTTACTTGAGCAAGAGAAAATTCAGGCTGAATATAAAGTAAACTTCCCTAATTGTGAGATTTATTAGGGAAGTTTACTTTATATTCAGCCTGAATTGACTGGGTGAATATTACCTCTGAGCGGAGCAAGAAACTCAACTGCTTGAGCTATTTAAAATTAGACTGAAGAAATTATTCAAGAATATAATGTAGGCAACAGCCCTGCAATGGCAGGGGGATGATCTGAGAACAAAATACTTTAAAGTCCTATTCTTTGATAACTTCTATGATTCTCTCATTAATAAGAGTGAGAACCTTTTCAATTCTCCACCACCACCCCATTTCTGACCTATGTCTTTGAATAAAGTGATTTTTTTTAAAAAACAAACAAACAGTGTTTAAGTAGGTATTTATAGAACTAAAGACAGCAACAGTTAATTTGTCATTCAATATGAATTAATAAAATATGCTTAAAATTTAAATTAATCTTCTCTCTCAGAGGGAATATTTATTACTGAAGATATTCCAGCACAGTATTTCTTAGAAGTAAGTTGCATGTATGCGGGATTTTTGTTATTTAACTTCAAAAGGGAAACAAATTCTGATTTCTGATATAGAATCACATTTAAGGCCCCATATCACAACATTGTTTTACTGCAATACCGAATGAAGTATGATATTTCAAGATATCTATGACGAGAGATGTAATTACAAAACAATTTACTAATATTGGCCCATTGACTGCAGTAGGAGTTAACTTCAAATTAAGTTTAGGGCACCCAAGCATCAAATGGGATCAGGTCCCTCTATTGGGTTGTCCCACACAGGCTGCTAATTCTTTTATAAAAACAACATATTCACCATAAATAGAGATGAGCTAATCCTACATAATTTTATAGGAAGCTAATGTCTGCAAAAAAAAAGTCATCCAAAAACCATTCTGACACCTACTAATAGCTCCAATTCAGGAAAGCATGTGGGGACATGTTTAAATCCATCCCATCAGGAATACTTTCCTAAATCGGAGTCAATATTTGTTTATTTTGTTCTGTATGTATTATTTAGTATTAAACCATAAACCATATTCATGACTGAATATAAAGATAACCTACATCTCTACAAAAATGAATATTGTTACTGTAACATGATGTACATGTTCACAATAATTATGTAAACACTTGTATTTCACAAAACATGATTTTACATTTTTAAAATGCTGTCAGTTGACATTATACTGCAGGTGGAGGTCATGAAGTTCTGTCATACCAATGACAACATTGTTTCAATAGTAACTAATGTGCTTCAAAGGAGAGAAAAAAACAAGCTAAAAATAAAAGGACTAAGATATGGACAAAGTAATTGGCATCAGTAAAATATGTGATGGTGTGGGATGCTATAACATTGTAATTAGCACATGTTTAGTAAGATATGCATAACTTGTGCTGTTGTGAATAATATGGTCATCCAAAATTCAAGTCAATACAAATTATATAGCAGCTGACAACACATATTTTGCATTTAACGCCACTGTAATTTTTAAAATAATTAATGTACTGCATTTACTAAATAATCTGCAAGATCGTGTAAATACAGCATGCAAAGATTTACATGTGGAACTCCCTTATTTCCCACATAAATCCCCACTCATTGAGACAATAGATCCCATTTATTTACATGGGGGCAGTGATGACCTTTTTAAGTGCAGCAAACTGAAAGTTCCGTGAGACCCTGCACTGTGTAAACCACAAAATCCAACCACATTATTTCACAGCCCTAATCTTAAATTCATTCAGATCTGAAGTTTTATTTGCATTGCATTGCAAAAGTATGTTTGAACATGGCATCTCCACGTGTATTCCTTTGGAATAAGTAAAAAAAAAAAAAACTTTAGAAGTAGCTCTGGAAATTTGCTTAACAATTAGTGTATTCAAGTTTCCACTAGGATTTTATGGTGCCCGGGAGACTCTGTCCTCATAAAAAAAGGTTAATTTTACTATACAGTTAATCCATACTACAAATTACTCCTTCAGTCTTACAGATTTTTCCAGTCTAGCACAGGAATCAAACCATAGTCTGCACTCTGATTTATGACATGCTGTGATCTTCAAATCAAGAAATCAGATTGTTGAGTTACACAGTGATGTATACAGAATTCAGAGGGTTGAATCTAGCCCATTGTTTATTAAGTTAATCAAATATAAAATGCACCCATATTTTACAAAAAAAGTTCAAAGCGCTGTAAGTGGCAGTGTTTGGACATTACTGTGGGATATTGTAATTGGGTTTTTTTGTTTGTTTGTTTTTTAAAAAAAGGACACGTGATTTGTTATTTCCCATTCCCGATAAATCAGCCAGCTGTCCTAACTCTTGCTTTGTCTGACAGAACTCACAACTTTTGTGAACAAGCATACCAAAAATAGGCAGAATGACCATCCATCTATTGACCCTTGGATCAATCTATTGATTCCCATGCAAGCATGATCTGAAAGTATGAATACAAAGATTCATAGCATATGCCCATCTGTAAACCAAACTGAAAAGTGTTGTCAAGCCGTATTTGTTACCTGCATGGTGGATTTTTGTTTTTCCGTTAGTAACTGCTGGTATATTAGATCCAGAAGATGAGGCTTCCATTTTTATTGACCTTCTGACTTGTGGGAGTGAAGAATGCCTAACCACAGGCAGATGCTGTGATAGCGGATGGCTTCCTGCCCTTCTCCTCTGATAGATTTGCACACGCTTTTCAGCCCCATGAATAGATAAACTTATACCTGATGGGAATGAGAAATAGCACTGTTAGATGCAGGAGACCAGCTCAGAATCACTAAAATATATCAATCGGCACAGTTTAAAATGGAGCGGTAACAGCCCTCTTGGGAAAAGTACAAAGGCATGAATTTTGTATTAAAATGAAAAATGTTAACCTTTTTACTCTTGCTGTGCAGGTGACAACAGGGCCAGCACAATAATGGGTATTTAAATTAATACACAGTCCCAGTCTAATGAGTTACTGCCCTGCAGGAGGAATTAACTGGAGTTCCTACAAAAGGGCACACACCTCATGAAGGGCAGTAGCAATAGGTTAACCATCACTGAGTTTATTTGATAACACTCCACTCCTGACTAGAATTGCAGACAGGTAAACATTTTTCTTTAGAAAAATGCACATATCTTGTCAAATTTCATCAGAGGTTTAAAAAAACAAAAACAAAAAAACCCCAAAAAAACAGAGTGTCATTTCGACCACTGACTATTTTTGGAGGAAAATTTTTTGATTTTGGTGGAAAAGAGTAATGATACAACAGACACAAGCTTGGATCTGCAAAATGATTCTGCTTTTTCATACAAAACCTTGATACTATCTTGATTTTTTCTGGTGTTCACTGCAAATTATTTTCCACAACTCTTTTCCCCAAATTCTATGGATCTGATGTAGCTGACAAGTGCACAGAAAGTGCTGCTCATGGTAAAAATCACCACAACTGCTCCAACAGAAAAAAAGGCAGCTTGAATTTCCAATACATACAATGCACTGTACATTCTTAGGGAAAGATGCCACTTTATAGGTGTAAAGCCAGATTCTGATCTCATATCTTGTTTACACTGCTATAACTGCGCTGCTTTCAGCCGAATTACTCCTGATTTATGCTTGTGTAAGGGAGAGCAGAATCAAACCTTTAGATCAGATATCTATTGGGCAACAAAAGTGATTAATGAAAATATTGCTCCATGTTTAAGGAAAACTAAAACTTGGGGGTAAGCCTTGCTCCCTTCATTACACTAACATTTCTATTGATTATATTGTAGGACTGCTTGTGAGAGAAAGAAGAAGAAGATTTGGGGCATCTCTTGTATTAGAAGTTGCTCATGAGAGGGGTACCTGAAGAGGGATGGAGAAGGGGGTTGGGAGGGAGGGAGAGAACAGAATTGGAGAGAATATCCCAGTTCTATCGTGCACAGGACACAGTGATCTGAAGTTATCTGGGCCCATGCATGATAGAAGTGGGATAGATGATACAAGAAACATGGAGAAGCATCTGGTCTGATGCGTTGCCCTGGGCTCACCCTCAGAAGGTATGCTTAGGACCAGGGGACTGCCTCGCTAAACCCTGGCCTTGATTGGAAGGGGGCTAAGGTGACTTTCACCTATGGTTCCTGCCCTGCTTCCTGCTGTAATCCTGCCTGGATTGTGCAGGATAGAAGCGCAGAAGAAGCTGGGGTTTAAAAAATTTTCTCTGTGGGGCTGGTGTATGTAGCCCCAGGAACTTGAGTGGTGCCAAAACGTCCACCATAGGATCAGCTGTCCCAGTCACCTCCTCCACCTGAAGACCCAGGTTCTGGGCCACTCTCCTTAGTAGCTCCTGGAGCTCTGTTGTCCACAGGAGTCGGTGATATTGATGTCCCTGCTCCCACTTCATATGGGGAAGGCGAAGATGATGCCCAGTCCCTCCGGCTCACAGGGGTCACCCTGTGCTGATGATCTCGTACTCTGTGCTGGGGCAGCACTAGCCCCGATCTCAGGGCTGGCTTTGGTGCCAGCTTTGGTGTCACGAGGTGGTTCCTGAGCCATGGAAGACTGTGGGGGAGCCTGTCCTTCTGAGGTGACTGACAGCGACCTTCCTGAGTACGACCCCCGGGTCTGATGATACACCCACGGGGTCCAAAAGGGCCATTGCGTGGGCATCTGTCACTGCGCTGGCCAAGACAATATGGGGACCGTGTGCCCTGCCTCCTGTCTTGAACGGTGCAGCTCCAATCAGAGCCGGCATCGTTTAGAGGTGTTAACTCCATGTCCCAGTCCGATGATGGCAACTCCAAGGGGGTGAGTGTCAGATAATGTGAGGCAGACAATGATTATTGAATGACAATGGACACTGCAATTCAAAAAGTTAAAGCTTTATCACCATTAAAACACAAGTTGTCAACATCACGTCAAAATATACAAAAGTAAATATCCTTACATCAAACTCTAATAAGTTCTCAAGCAGCATTTTTCTTACTTTGCCTATCTGTAGATTTTGGTTATTATTGATGGACATATTTCCCCGTGCTAATTTTTCCCCTACTGTTACTCATGCCTTCTTGTCAACTATTGGAAATGGGCCATCCTGATTATCACTACAAAAGTTTTTTTTTCCCTCCCGCTGCTAATAACCCACCTTAATTGATTAGTCTCATTACAGTTGTATGGCAACACGCATTTTTTCATGTTCTCTGTGTGTATATATATCTTCCTACTGTATTTTCCACTGCATGCATCATGAAGTGGATTTTAGCCCACGGAAGCTTATGACCGAATAAATTTGTTAGTCTCTAAGGTGCACAAGTACTCCTCGTTCTTTTTGCTGATACAGACTAACACGACTGCCACTCTGAAACATATTTTTGTTGGTTTGTATGCACAGGGAAAACAACGTTTTACCAAATTTTACGAATAAAAATCTAATCCTTCCAAGCCTATCTATGGCAGTGACTCAGCTTTGCAAACTGTTTGTGCAGTCCAGGCATCAATATAATACACCCAGAAGAGTCAGAGCAAGTAGTCAAGAAGAAGAAGATCTTGTAAAGAGGAAGCCAGAAAGGAGGAGCTTGCTGTAGTCAAGGCACAAGGATGAATGAGGGTTTTGGCAGAGAAAAATGGGATCATTTAAATATGTCACATAAATGTGTAAATCACCCATCTGGTTGCTATTGATTTCTAAATGCAAGAAAGTAAAAAGTGGATTGGTTCATTTAGGGGCCAGATTCTCAGCTGGTGGAAACTGCCACACTTCCATTAGTCAATGGTGCTATACTCATGGCATCACTGTTTCTCAAACTGTGAAGCTAACCTCCATAGGGAAAAGGCCAATGAGATGAATGTTTTTCATGCTAAATCATTCTCACTTCTGATTCAGCAGAGAGAGCAACTAGAATGGTCTATGCACTGTTCTGCTTGCTAGGGAATCTGGGTGGAAATGGCTGAACAAAAGAAAAAAATTAACCTGCTGCCTCTCTCCACATCCCTGAAAACATTACCTAAAGGCAGCTCTCTTTTTTCACCCCACACCTTACCATGAGAACACAAATGTCTGGCGAGGCCTGGCTAGTTTTTTCCAGATCTTAGGGAGAGGAGTGTTACAACAACATTTGAAAAAAGAAAAGGAGTACTTGTGGCACCTTAGAGACTAACCAATTTATTTGAGCATGAGCTTTCGTGAGCTACAGCTCACTTCATCGGATGCATACCGTGGAAACTGCAGCAGACTTTATATACACACAGAGAATATGAAACAATACCTCCTCCCACCCCACTGTCCTGCTGGTAATAGCTTATCTAAAGTGATCATCAGGTTGGGCCATTTCCAGCACAAATCCAGGTTAAATTAAATCATTTCTGAGTGAGCTATAGGCAGTATCTCTGTTCCAGTGACAGGGTCATGTAACTTCTAACTTGCCATTGGTAACGAGTAATAACAACATTGCACCTAACCCTAGATTACTCCCTGTTGTACTGAAAATGTGAGAACACTTAATATCAGATCAGTTGGGAGGGGGAAAATGTAACCGCATTGTACCCTTTTCTGGAACTGGACTGATCATGGAGTTAAAGCTGCAGTATCTGCCTAAGCATGGGAATGTTCTGCTAAGATCCTAAAGATTTCAAGCATTTTTTTCTGCTACTGGGTTATTGTTGATTGCTGTGGATATATTGATTAACTGTTAAAGGGGGGGCTGCAGGAATGACTTTTTGCATGGTCTACGAGCTCCTACAGCAAGGCATATGTGCGTTTTTTAATGGCTGTGAGTATACATCTAAATAAATGAATGGTATTTTATTTATATGCATTTAAGGTGCATATATTTATATTCCTAGCTGTCCCTTGTAACAGCTCACTATGTTTACCTGTTATACACAAAAGGGAAATGGAAGACACAGTATGTTTATGCTGCTCCTTTTACTAGGCTATTAAGCAAAAAAGCCTCACAATTTGTGAGTAAAATATGTTCCCTTTCCATTCTCCCAGCAGGCTGCAATCAGTGTCATTTGTTACCATTTCAGATGACTGAGTTCTTATCAGGACTGTCTGCTTTTTTGATTTTGTTAATTGACTAGGATGTGGTGCTGGCAGCGGGGTGTTTTGTTTTGTTATTTACCATTTATTTTACTATGTTGTTGTAACTTGTACATTTAGTTTGGATTGCCTTTTAGTACTATTAGAACAATAAGTATTCAGAATAGTTGTTCAAAAAATAGAGGGAAAAGTTCCTGTGTCTGCCAAAATGAAGGACCAGCACTAAGAATGACAACCTAGATACTGCAATCAGACGGCCCAGGCATACTCCTATAATCATGCTGAGTCCCTCTGAAATCAATAGGGCTCCAATGAATTGCTGAATGAGGCCCTATATCTCAGTCCTTTCCATACAGGGATAGCATGCGCCTAAAGTTTCCTATTTGTTTTGAGCAATGCCTACATTTGTCAAGTCATAATTTGCAGATTAGATCTGTGTATTTTAATTAATGTCTAGTATATTCTATGTTATTTATTGATTTGTAGCTATTCTGCAACAAATTATGCTATAATTCAGTGGCTCTCAACCTTTCCAGACTACTGTACCCCTTTCAGGAGTCTGATTTGTCTTGTGAACCTTCAAGTTTCACCTCACTTAAAAACTACTTGCTTACAAAATCAGACATAAAAATACAAAAAAGTGTCGCAGCCACACTATTACTGAAAAATCAATTGGAAGACAAATATTGTACTTAAATTTCAATGTATATAGTGCA